GTGCGTGCCCAAGATCCCGAGAGGAGAATGGAGGAGAAGGGATTGTGGCATGGCAATCCCCCCTGGGGGGTGATTTCTTGCTTTCTGTCTGTCTGTCTGGCGAGCGCATGCGCCCTATAGCAAAAACCTCTCCAAAAAAAAAAAGGGGGAGGTTTGGGACCAAATGATCTTGTAAAGCCCTTTTTTTAAAAAAATAAAATTTAATTTATTCATTCATTTATTTTAAATTGAACAAAGAGACAGAGTGAGAAAGTAAACCACCAGGTTCAGGACTCAACTGTGGTTGGCCATGTGGGAATGTCTAGCACCTTAACCACCACACATTCTTAGATATTCTGAGAGACTCAGTTCCTCCAGGGTAGAAAGCTTTCCTGATTTTTTAATTTTTAAACCTTTTTGGGGCCAGTAGGTGGTTGAGGACACTGGACTCCCACATTCCTGGACGTGGTAACTTGCTTCCTCACTTTCCCTCCCTCTCTCTCTCACTCTGTCCCTCTCTGGTCAAATTATAAGTAAGTAAATAAATAAATAAAGTTAAATAAAATATTTAAAAAATAAAACCGTTTTATTATTATTTTTAAAATTTTGGTAAGGACATGTGCACTCACCAGAGAAATACACAGAGAGAGGGAAAGTGAGAAAACCAACCACCAGGTCCAGGACTCAAACCATGTCTGCCATCTGGGAGTCCAATGCCTCAACCACCATGCCACCTGCTGGCTCCTCCTGATTCCTCTTTAATCCTTTGCTTGTAGTAAAGAATTGTGTACACCATAGGGGTTGGTAGGTGGTCCAAATGAATGATACTACTCCTGCTCAAAGTCAAGGTATTAGGCATTTAGGGTTCTTTACAGCCTCTAATCCAGACCTTCCTCTGACTCTGGAAACTGCTTGCTCCCGGAACTGGGACTCAGTATTTGAAGAGACTGTCTGACAAACATTGACCTAACACACCTACTACATGCCAAGCCTAGTACTGGTTATGGAAACACGATGGTGAACAAAACTAGTGGGTCTTTGCCCTCCTCGAGGCAGTGTTCTAGAAGACATAGGAGAGAAACCACACGGTTTGATAGGTGCTGTGGAGAGGGAGAGTGGACAACTGGAACCAGTGGAGTGCCCTAACCCAGCCGAAGTCCAAGTCAAGAGGCTGGGAGGTGGTGTGGTGGTTAAGGCACTGGACTCTCATATGGCCAACTGCGGTTCAACTCCTGCACCTGGTGGCTTGCTTTCTCGCCCTCTCTTTCCAGTCAAATTTTAATAATAAATATTTTTAAAATGATAAATAAGTCCAAAGGGGAGTCCATGTGGGGGAAAAAGGGGCCCATGTGAGGCAGGCCAGAGGAATTCCCTGTCATCCAGAACCTCAGCAGCCAGGTGACACCCACTTATCCTCCCTGCATAGCCGGAGTCTAGGAGCTCACTTTTGGCTAATTTAGCCCATTCTGTAGATGCCCAGGAAGGAAATCCTTCCTTGTCCTGACCCCAAGCCTTTCCCACTCAACCCTCAGTGACAATACTATTTTTACATATTGTGTTTATTCAGAGTATTTATTAAATGCCCACTTTGCAGGAACGGCAGGTGGTGTGGTGGTGTGGTGGTTAAAAGTGCTGGAATCCCACGTGGCCAACCATGGTTCGAATCCTGGACCTGGTCCCTTTCTGGTCAAATTTTAAAAATAAATACGCAAAGCTAAGTGGAATAATTCCTTAAAAAATAATAAAAGAAATGCCCACTTTGCACCTGTCAGGTGCTTCTCATGTATTACCTGACTCCTTGCAGGGATTATTAGTTATCCCCATTTTTCAGACAAGAAAACTGAGACTCTACAGGTGGCATGCCCAAGGACTCCTAAGTATCAGGCCTCAGCCTCAGGTTTTTGTGCTTTTAGGACCCTTGCCCCTACCCACTGACCCTCACTGCAGCCCCTGGGACTAGTCTCAATCGAATGCCTTCCCTCAGATCCACGCAGAGCAGGGGCTTGGGCCCCATCCCGTCCCCTCCGGCAGGCCGGCCAGCCCGGGCGTAGGCCTCCTTCCTCTGTGAAGCTCCTAGGGAGACAATGGTAGGGTCGGTGGGGGAGGCAGGGCGCGGGTGCCCCCCTGCCCGCTGCCCTTTGTCTTCCCGCCTGCTCCCCGGGAGGCTGGGAGGCGCCTCTCGCAGGCTTCCTCCTCCCATTCTTGTGCTAATTGGGTGTCAAGCTGAGATCAGTGAGAAAGAAATCCGCCCGGGCTCGGGTTAAACTGCCGCCAAAGACAGGGGCTGAGCCCAGAATATCATTATGCGGGAGGAAGCAGGGCCCCTTCTCGGAGGGGGGAGGGGCTGGCCACGCATTCAGGCCCTTTTGAAAGTCATTCGTTCGTCCCCTCCCTGACTGCCGCCGCCTCAATGGGCTCTCAGAGGTATTTAACCTCCTTCCCAGGAACTGAAAGTGATATGCCACGCAATGGCCTGGGCAGCCACTTGCCTGCAAGGGTGGCTGGACCTCCGGGGATGCTCGAGGCTGGCCCCTTCCAGCCTTCCTGGGCGAGGGGGCTGGCTGCAGTGGGAACCTCGAAGGTTCAGGAAGGTAACTGCTCCCAGCCCGCCGTTTACAGGCTCTGGGTCTTTGGAGAGACTGCTGCTCTGACCCCCAGGCTCCTCATCTGTGGAACGGGATAAAGTCCTACCTGCCTGGGTAGGAGCACCCTGCACAGAGCCGGTAGTGCTCCGTACTTGGCCCCCCCCCCGGCCAGAGCTTAAGGAACAGGTTTAACCTGATCGATACAAGGACTCCGAGCAGAGCTCCTCTGGAGGTGTGAGTAGAAGTGCCCACAGAGGACTCACCTTTTTTATCTCCTCCCTCCTCTAACTCCCCCAAGCCCTGCAGTCTCCTGCCCTTCTTTAATCTGCCCTCCACCTCCAGGCCTTAACATTGCGCTGCTCCCTCCTTGCGTGAAATCCCCCCAACCATGGACAGCCCTGGCTTCTTTACTCACTAGCTCCTCCCCGCTCCCTCTCACAGAGGGTGGGCTCCCTGAGGGCAGACCTAGGGCCCCTGGGTCTCTGTCTTCTCCTGGTGGCAGCTCCCTACTCTCCCAGCACAGAGCTGGCCTTTGGAATCTGCTCAACAGACGACCTCACACAGTACCGGCAACTGAGAAGCATTATAGAGTCAGGAAACGCCCAGTAAACACTGTCATTGTCACTAACATCAGTCGCAAGCATATACTGGCACCTCTGCGTGCATGGAGATGCTGCTCATGGCCACGGTCTGGGGATGACCAGAGGCAGAGACCTAGGGCTCTGAGGGCCACAGGCCCACCAGTGCACTATGGAGGGAAGGGTGCAGGCCAGTGTCCAGAGCAGAAGTGGGAAACCTGTCCTTCTCTGGGATCTTAACATCTGCACATCCTTTTTTTCCCCTGTCATGCATTGGGCAGATAACCAGCACCAGGCCCCATGCTAGGAGATTGCATTTTCACAACTATCCCAAGGTAGGGATTTCCTATCCTCCATTTACAGGAATGGAAATCGAGGGTTAGTCTGGTACCTGGTAGGGCGGGGACTGGGACCCAGGCCTGATCTGAGCTGGAGTTTCGAACTACTGCTCCACACTGCCTTTGGGGACTTTCAATCTGGAGGAAGGCGTGGCCTCCCTCTGAGGTCTCCTTCCCATTGTAGAGAACTCAGCGCTGGGAGCTAAAGACAACCAAGTCCAGGCTCTTGGAAGCCCCACCAAAGGTTCGCCACCTGGTCTGCTGAGCTGGGGTATCCGCTTAGGGTGATGAGACACAGTCCCTTCCTTCCCACCTGCCTAGGCTCAGCGCTAAGCACCAGGACTAGATTCTCCGGGCTCTGTGCGCCCCCTGCTGGCCCTATACAGGCCCAGCAGCCATGCCCACTACCCCAGAACTCCCGTCACCTCACCTGTGGGGTACTCACTCCAGCTCCATGGCCCCATAACCCAAGAGAGGAACCAGACTCCTCTAACTTTCAGAGGCCACACCCCCACAGGCACACTGGAGTTGACCTGGGCACTCTCCACCTAACTGTCAGTGGCCAACCAGGGTGTGGCCCAGAATAGCCCCACAGGCATGCAGGAGTCTGGCTCTTTTGGCTTCCTGCTGCTTTCTACACAGGAGGCAGGGGCCTGCAGCAGCAAGGCCTGGCCTCTTTCTAGCCTCCCTACTTGCTGAATGACCTTGGCCAAGTGATTCAAAAATCTCCTTGTTCTCATTCTTTCCTCAAAAAGCACATTTATAAACCTGTCTCTCAGACTTGTGAGTTAAGGGCTTCAGAGTGGAGACAAAGCGCAGGGCTCTGCCAGGCCTGTCCCCTGGGCTGACATTCCAGCCTGGGGGTGGCTCTGGCAATGGAGCTCAGGAGACAGTTACTGTGCATCCAAGCACTGACTGCAGCTCTGTAAGATTCTTCCAGAAAGAGTGCTCAACTGTGAGGCAGTCCCTTCATAACTGGGAATGGGCATCGCAGACAGAGGGGTGGCATGTCCAGGCTCTGAACATCCCCTCCTCACAATGGCTTCCTACAGCTTCTAAGTCCTCGCACCTGAGTATTCCCATCTCGCAGGGGAGGAGACCGGGTCACTTGCACAAGGCCACAAGACTGACAGAGCTGGTATGGACTTCCAAGCTCGATGCAGGTCAATACCCTGCCAGGCTCAGGAGGGCACTGCCCCTTCTGGGCCAGCACTGAGGGAAGGCTGTATCCAAAGGGGTGGGGGTGAGTGGGCAGATCAGGTGGGCCAGGTGTACACAGGCAATGAGTCAGGCAGAGTTTATTGGCCCCTGAGCCCTCCCTACCCCATGCCTCCTCACAGGCAGGTCAGGACTGAGATGGGGAAGGTGACACAGACAGACCCACGAAGACAGAAAGGCCCTGCCTGGCAACCACTCAGGGAGAGGAGCGTGAGTGGGAAGAGACGAGGTACTCTGTGTGACCTGGTCCCGGTGGGGCACTGGAGGCCATGCCGGGTCCCGTCCTGTTGGTGCCCAGGGTTGACACTTGGGCAGCTCTGGAGTCATGATCCTTTTCAGCCACCTGATCCACGGCCACTCTGCCCCTGCCCATTCTGTTGGCTTCCTGAGTCTGGAGTCTTCTGCCCTGGTCCCAGTTCCAAGCTCCTCCCTGTTCTCAGGAAAGGTCTTGGGAACCCTGCTACCTCTCCCTGCCCTGACCCAAGACATCATCCTGAGGGAGCCCCCAACCCCCGTCAGTCTCCACCAGGGGCTCAAAGGTCCTGCCTGGCCCAGAACACATTACTTGGACATGGGGCTTTCACAGAAAACCCCTGGGGGGCCGGGAGCAGGCAGTGAGTCACTTGGCAGTTTTGGAGGGAGGAGTCCGCACCTCAGGGTGGAGGTGCCAGGCCCTGCTTGCTTTGGTCTGGTATCACCCAGGACCCCTCTGGGGTGGAAGCTGAGGCTCTGGACCCAGCACCTGCTGGCCCTCAGAGGGGCTGGGTGGCAAATCACAGCTTTTCCTGGCCTGTCTGGATGCGAGTATAGGTCTCTTGGTCCAGAGGGACGTAGCCCCCCTTCCGGGTATTCAGGTAAAACAGCGGGTCTTTCACAAGAGTCGGGTCAAAGCCTTCCTTCCTCAGCTCTGTCTTCTGGAACTTGTAGGTCCCTGGAGGAGTAGGGAGGAAGACTCAGACAGTGCAGGGCAGGAGCCTGAGCACCCAGGAACCTGACCCCCAGTGCTGAGCAGGGGCAGAGAGGAGAAAGGAAAGGGAAGTGTGTGTGGGGGTGGGTGGGGCTGCACAGTCTGCAAACAACCCTCCACCTGTTATCTCATGTGCTGTTGTTCAGCAGTGTTGCCAAAGCAGGCCATGTTACCCTCCCCCGTTCTGCAGATGGGGAAGCTGAGACTTGAAGGAGAGCTGTTGGCCAAACTTCACACTCCAAGTGAAGGAAGAGCG